GTATTCCCAAAAGATGCTGCAAAAAAGAATTCTCTGGTCATATTAATTTGAAAAGTACTGAAACATCTATCTCCTTCTTAGGATTCCACATGCACATTAGCATATTAAAGAATCTAAAAAATCTTGCAATGCAGAAACACATTTAATTTTTTTTTTCCATAATTTCCCACACTATGACCACAGGATTCTTGCTTTTCATAACATTCTTTAATATTTTGTGGAAAGAATGTCCCACAGAACATTAGAAAATGCTATTCTATGCCCAAAGACATGTAAGTATAGAGACCTTGGGCTTACCATTTACTATCAGTCTAATTTCTCCAACTCTGATGTTGTACCCTTTCTTCCATGTTTGTCAACTCTTCTTATCCAGCCACATAGATATTTTTCCCAGTTTTAACAGAAGATTTTATTTGCTGATTCCCCCAAAAGCAAAATTCAGAAAATAGCAACCCACTTCAAGAACAGTTCTATAATAAAACATTTTCAGTTATCCTCTCCTCTCTCCAATGGTGTGCCCTTTCAATCTATATCATCAGAGAAAAGACTAACATATGGAAATACTCCATGTGAAAGGCACATGGCACTTATATTGCTCACACCTCCTGATACACTCCCTGGCAGGCAAGGGGAGCCTTTTCTGGAGCCTCCACCTTTTGATAGAAATTTATTGCAAAATTTTTTATAGCAAAATATTTAAAGATCCCTCTGCCTGCTTTCCCTACTTAAGTTATCTACTAGTAAAGTACAGAATTAAAAAGTTTTTCTCAAGCTATGATCAAAACCCCGAATATTAAAGAACATCTTGGTTACTCTAAGTTCCTGGGATATATAATTAGATATTTATGAGGAAGTTGAACCTTCAAGTTCCGTTGATCTCCAGAATGGGTAACAGAAGAGAGGATATGATTAGGATAGCTAAAAGAAAAAAAAAAAGATACTCATTCTATGATGGAGCAAAGCAAGCTTTCTCAACCATCAACCAATGTGTTGATCTCCAGAATGGGTAACAGAAGAGAGGATATGATTAGGATAGCTAAAAGAAAAAAAAAAGATACTCATTCTATGATGGAGCAAAGCAAGCTTTCTCAACCATCAACCAATGCTACCTCATTGATCGCAAACCCTGCAGAGATCCAAGATTTGAGTCTCACATATAGAATATATTTGAAAGAGAGCCAGCAGAGATGAGATGTATGAACAGAATAGAATGCTGATGAAGGCACAGAGCAACAAATCTCAAGAAATTTTTAATGGCATTTTCATTTAATAAGCCAGTAGTATAGCAATTAACAATGCTGGCTGTGATCACACCAGCAAGTTATGGACTGGAATTGCTGCAGGAAAGTGTGATTGGCAGCTGGCATCCTCTGGCTCACTGTGCTAAGCCAGTGGTCCCAGCACCAACTTTCTAGAGAGACTTAAGGCTGGAGAGTATAGTGGAGATATTTCTTGCCAGGTGGGAGCTCTTTGATGATGACTCCTTTAGGGAAAGTTTTTTGGCTTCCTCTTCAGAGACCATTGGGAGGACCATCACACTATCACCATCCTTCCAATCAATCGGGGTGGCAACCCTCTTTTCCATTGTCAGCTGAAGAGAGATAACTACTCTGAGAATCTCATCAAAAATCCTGCCAGTGGTAGCTGGGTAGAGGATAGGAAGCTTCAGTTTCTTATCAGGACCAAAAATAATCACCACACGTGCTATCACAGGCATGCCCTTTTTGTCCTTCTCTGATGGGTCTAGCCTGCCCAACAGCATGGCAAGGTTCCAGTTTTTATCATTGATGATTGGAAAAGGTAACTTTTCTGTGGGCTCTTCACCATTATAAGAATTGATATCCTTGCTCCAGGCAAGATGGTCCTCCACACTGTCTATGGAAAGGGCAGTCAACTTAACATTGCTCTTGGCAAATTCTGGTGCCAGCTTTGCATCTCTGCCAAGCTCCATAGTGCACACTGGGGTAAAATCCCGAGGGTGGGAGAAGAGAATGCTCCATGAGTCTCCCAGAAAGTCGTGGAAATGGATGTGGCAGACATCCATTGGCCTAGAAGTTGGGAGCCTCGTCCCAAGAAGGAGACCTCTGGGCGTGGCTGAGGCAGTGACATGGTAGGATAAGGAGGAGCAGCCACAGCAGCAGCTAGCTGGCTGGCTCCAGAGATCTACATAGAATTTTAGAAAGAAAAGCATCATCTTGTCTACCTTTGTGTTACAAATAAGAAAATGAAGTTCCAGAGACTTTCACTGGCTTGAGTCTGTTAAGAGGCCTGGCATATGAAGAAACAGGGTTGCTTGAGCATGACTCCCACAATGTTCCACTGAGTCAGGCAATCCAGCCTCTTTGTCTCCCACACTGGGAAGCCATGCCTGATGAATTCTCTCAGAACTCTGTTCACTTCAGCTCAACATCAACTTATTTATGTCCCAAACTTTCACAAGATTTAATTGGGCATGAGGATTCTTTACCCTGTTTGCTTGTTTCTTGAACTCTGCAGTGATTTTATTCCCCAGCTTAAGCATTAGTTCCACAGAGGACATAAGTTTAGATCTTTATCCCAACTAAGCACCCAAAGACTTACCAGAAAGTGACTGCTAACAATTTCCATTAGAAAATTGGAAAAAAAGATCATTAGAAAATAGAAAAATAACAAATACAAATAAGCAATATGTTTATTAAAAACTGTTTAGTTAGTAATCAAAGAAATGTGAAATATAACAAAATGAGATAGTATCTGTTTAAAGTCCGTTTTGTGTTGCTATAACAGAAATACCTGAGACTGGGTAATTTACAAAGAACAAGAGGTTTATTTGGCTTAGGATTCTGGGAGAGCTGTATCTTTGGAGGCCTCACGCTGCTTCTACTCATGGCAGAAAGCGGCAGGCAGCTGGCAGATACAAGCAGATCACATGGCAAGAAGAAGCAAGAGAGAGAAAAGGGAGATGCCAGGGTCTTTTAAACAACCAGCTCTCACGTGGGAACTAATAGAGCGAGAACTCATTCATTAATCCCCCCACCTAGGGAGAGCATTAATCCATTCATGAGGGATCTGCCCCCATGACTCAAACAGCACTGCCACATGGGGATCAGATTTCCACATGAGTTTTGGTGGGGACAGCACATCCAAACTCTATCAGTATCTTTACATAAAAATTGTCAAAAGAATTTTTTCTTAAATTACCCAAGATTGTCAAGGTTGAGGGAAAACATGTATTTGCATGTCCTTTTAGGAATTATGCAACTTGGACAAATATTTTTGAAGAGAAATCTGGAACTTGTCTGAAACCTTATAAGCGTTCCTGCCATGTTTTTGACCCTTCTCTTGCTCTGTAAAACCTACATTTACATATTTATCAAATGAAATAAGGATAGTTATTACAAAGACATTTATCAGGATACTTTTCATAGGGAAAAATTTAGAAACTAGTTAAAATGCAAAATAGAAATATTGGCTAAATAAACTACTGCATGGCCATACAATGTAATGGTACCTAGCCATTATAATTATATTTTTAAGAATATGTATTTACATGAAAAGATGTTTATGTTACATTGTGCACTGGAAAAAAAGGATGATTATAATCCCAATTTTTGTTAAAAATACATACATATATCACCTATGGGTAAAAATCTCATCTTTCTTATATTCCTAGCATTTAGAGCTATACTTGGCTTATAGATAATATTTAAGTGACATTGAATAAATACATAGAAAAAAATGGAAATACATATGAAAAATCTGGATATACATTTGGCAAAATGGTAATATTTTGATTAGCGGCATTACAGTTCATTTTTTTCCTGTCTTGTTTACACTTGTTTTTATACAATAAACCCATGTAACCTTTATAATAAGCAAAAACATTTTTAATAAAAATACCACTGCTCAGTTAACATCATTTCATATCAAAGCAATAGTCACCATTTAACTCACTTTATCTGAGGTGCTGCTAATAATATCCAACTGAAGATGCTCATATCTGATTCCCTGTTTTCTTAGTGCTTCTGAGTAATTCTGGCATGACAGACCTCCACTGACAGCCATGCAAGGTATTATAGGATTACAGTTTTTAAGTGGCTTAGACTCTACATTCAGAATTTCCTGAACTCCTAAAGAATAACTGCCCACCCACAAACCACAATGTGCTCAGCTTGTCAA